TGAGTGGCAGAGCAAAGTACCCCTGTCAGCCCAATGCCTCTGATATTCCCAGGCACCGCTGCATTTCCACCTCGCTAACTGGAGAAACACCAGCAACTCTGGAAACATGGTGAGCATATCATATCCAGAACTCGGACTCTGGAAACATGGTGAGCATATCATATCCAGAACTCTGACCAGTGAAGGCGCAGGCTTCATTCAAAGTTAGGCAACAGGATATCAAGGTTCATTCATGACACAGGTCACTCTGTATTTACAAATACACACTGGAGTAGGGCACGGACGAGTATCAGATAAAAGTTAATGTTTGGCTCGATTTAAAACAGTAGCACTTGACTAGTTTTCGACATTTTTGCTATGATTGTGTTTAATATTAACAAGATATTGTTAAATTAGGGTTAGCCTAAAGCTGCCTCTTTACATATTTTAAAGGTTTCTGTGTACATAGTGAACGGTAACCTAACTGGATGTGTTACACAGACTATAATCTACTCTTGTGCTGATCACTGAGCTTTGGCTACCGGCAGCCAATTGTTCAAACTGCGCTCAAATACGGCAAACAAACAAACTGTAGCCAGTCTGGCTGTTTAGCATCTCACTTCCATTTTCTGTACGTCCTTTTCCTTTTTTTTGCCTATAAATTTTCTTCCAGGCTGGGGTGTGGTGGCTCATGCCTGTGACCCCATCACTTTTTTTTTTTTTTTTTTTTTTTGAGACAGGGTCTCGCTCTGTTGCCCAGGCTCCAGGGCAGTGGTGTGATCATGGCTCCCTGCAGCTTTGGCCTCCCAGGCTCAAGTGATCCTCCCACATAAGACTCCCAAGCAGCTGGGACAAGCACACCACCAATTCTCAGGCTGAGGCAGGTGGATCACTCATGCCCAGGAGTTTGAGACCAGCCTGGAAAACATGGTAAACCCCCGTTCCTCCCAAAATACAAAAATTAGTGGGCCACGGTGCTGTGCCTGGCCCAGCTACTTGGGAGGCTTAGAGGGGAAGATCACTTAAGCCTGGGAGTCCAAGGCTGCAGTGAGCTGTGATCACACCACTGCCTCCCAGCCTGGGCAACAGAGCGAAACCTTGCCTCAAAATAAAAAAAAAAAATCTTTCAGCACATGACGGTGCTGGAGCCTCTCTGAACCTATTCTGACTCATAGGCCGCCTGATTTGCAAATTGTTATTTGCTCAGTTAAACTTGGTTAATTTGTCTAAGGTTTTTCTTTTAACAATACTTAAAACAAAATAAAGCTTAACTAAAATTTGAAAAGATTGAAAAAGTCTGTTTGGAGGAAGGAGTATTTAAACCTGTACAATGAGTATTTCCAAAGGACATAAGGTTGTGGCATTGCAGGACACCAACACAAAGGTTTGGATACACTATGATGTGCTTTCTGTACTTTACAAGTCAAAAGTACTTAAGCGCATTACAGGTATTCACAGTGTGTGGCTGAGGATCCCATTTCTGGAACCTGGAGTTGGGCTCGGGAAAGTCAGTTTGGGCTTCAATTTGATTTGCACTTAGGAACACGTGAGGCTTATGATTTCCTAGATTCTTAACCATTCAACAAAAGCATGTTAAAAATGTAACATACATGCTTAAAAATGGTTAAGAAGGTAAATTTTATGTTACGTGTATTTTGCCACTATGAAAAATAAAAGAGGTAACACAAATCGAAACCAAAATGTAGACGCTTTCCCTTTTCCTAGACTGTGAGCAGTACTGACTTCCTTATGCCACTTCCACCTCCTAAATCACCAACCAAATGGCTTTAAAAGCCTTCCCACTTGTTTTTCAGGTGTCCAGTTCTATAAGTATTCAAGCATTGTTTCTCTCTTTAGAAATCAGACCAAGAGCCTCTATGTGTGATTATCACTACCACGACCTTTGGTTATAATTATTTTGGATGTTCAGCTTTTGAATCTAATTTTCATGTTTGAAAACCTGTACTTTCATAACAGTTGAGCACTGATCACATTTGTGGAAATAAAAATAAGATGGCACTGTTGAGGGCACTGGCCCTTCACAGGAAAAATGCAGATGGGAGAGATGGGGTGGTATGACTCAGGGTCCTCTTTGCTCATGTATTTTCTATTAAGAGGATGAGGTCACAACAGTAAAGTAGACTGCCTTAGGTCATAGGATTGTAGCCTGATTTATCAGTAACTCGCCCTCTGTCCTTGGCAATCGCTTGGCTTCTCTGTGCATCAGTTTTCTCTTCTGCAAAGTGGAGAGTATGCTGATTTCCCAGGTCCCTGCTGCAAAAGCCACTCAAGCTTCTATCATTCCACAGAAAGGAAGACTTCTTCAATAGCCCGGGCAGGAACTTGTAAACATAGGATTTCTTCTGCCGACTCACATGTCCACAGTAGCAGAACAGTACTGGTGTGGGTGAAGGAACCTCATTATGTCAAAACGAACACTACCATCAAACGTGACAGCTGGAAAGAGTTTAACTGATAATTGAGTAGACCCTTCATTTTACAGAGCAGGAAAGGAAAATCCCAAAAGGCCAAAGAGCATGACCAACGTCTCAGCACTCACAGAGGTCAGAGCTGGAAGGGATTCTAGAGTTTTTGAGGGAGGCTTTTCCAAACTTTTACCCCCTCCACCAAACTGAATTGTGACCCTCACTACCACTGAGACATATGCATCAGGATACAAAAAAGGTTAAGAGAAAAGGTTAAAGTTTCCAATGACTTGGTTTGCAGCTCAGCCTTTTTGTTTCCCAGAAGAAGAAACTGAGATCCAGAGAGGTTAAGACCAGGTCAAACTACAAACCACAAGTAGAGCCGACCCACAAACGCACCTATTTACCCAGCACAAACCCACGCCACGATCGCTGAGGGTCTGTGACAGGCTGCCCTGCTTCTGTGCCTGTGTGGGGGGATGCGGATACGGGTGATAAGGGAACTGGTGTGGCAGATGGTATTTTCCAATGCTTGTCTTACAATGACTGGACCCTCCTCTATCGAGAGAAGGGGTTTATCTTCTTCTAAGTGAACCTGGACAGGTTCTGTAACCTTGACAGTGGAGGTGACGCTGTACAACTCCTGAGGCTATGCCGTAGAGACAATATGGCTGCTGTCTGGCTCTCTCTGCTGGGACTCTTCTTGCCCTTGGAACCCAGCCGCCACGCTGTGAGGAAGCCCAGGTTACAGTGAGGCCATGTGTGCTACGTTCCGGCTGACACCCTGGCCAGACTCCTGATCACAGCCAGCATAAACCTCCAGACAGCTACGTAAAAAATGATTCTTGTCCCCAGCTTTCCAATCTTCCAGCTGAGGTCCCATCACTGTGGAGCAACACAAGTCCCCCTCGCCATGCCCTGTCTGAATTCTTGACCTGTAGAAGTGGGGTGTGGCAATAAATGAAGATTGTTCTTTGAAGCCACTACGTTTTAGGGGATGATTTACTGTGCAGCAATAACTGATACATAAGGTCCTTAAGTTACCAGCCATCGTTAGATTTCTTGATTTTCATTTCTACCATTCAACCATTCCCCACCCCCTTCTACTGTTTACAGTTAAAGGCCATGAACCTTTTCATTTTTTCCCCTTAAAACCTGAGACATGATTTTTTCCCTAATGACTTAGCCTGTGTATTAGGAGACGACGTAAACCGACGACAACTCTTTGGGGCTCACAGCCATGCCCAGATTTGAAGAGCCCAGGATGCTTTACCTACGGCTGCCTCGGAACTTCCGTTTCTGAACGCCTCTCCCTAAGGAGAGCAGAGCCATCCCTAGCCACGGACCCTTGGCCTGCTGGCCTCATGCAGATGTCTCCCAGAAGGCTGCTTCGTGGGCTGGTCCCCCGTGTTTTCAGTTTTCAACAGCACCCCTATATCCCTGCCCCACTCTGACTCTCCATGTGGCTGCATTCTGGATGTGCTCTGTCAGCCTCTCAAGAAGTTGGGATGCCACATGTATTGGTTCAGAGCTGCTGAGAGATCAGTGATGCCACTTCATGTTCACAATGGCTCAGGGGCGATCCCGACAAGTGACGTCTGTTAGCACTGTAGGGCCTGTGGCCACACTGAGGAGGCCAAGCCCTGCACCACGAGCGGATCTTCTGTGTGAGAGGAGTCTGATGCCGTGTCAGCACACCACTGTCATTCAGGGAACGGTGGCCAACCTTACACAAATTTGCCTTCTGGCTCCAGTGACTTACGGCAACCTTTGGGGCACAGTTTCGCCACTGGGGATGGTCTTCAGGCCCATAATTGTGTGACTGCGTGCTTACACATGGGCAAGTTTTACTGGCAACGTTAATAATTCCTATCTCCTTAGTATAATATATTGGTGACTGTGATACAGACATCGGGAGGTTGACAGACACAATAACAGGACCTGTTACAAAGACAAACTGAGTATTGTGTCCTTGGCCTTCAGATGTGTTTGTTATCAGGCCTAAGCTCAGACGGCCTGATAGTGCACATAACCGGTTAAAAAAGCCAGGGGGAAGAAATCGGCTTTGTCATCTCTCTCCATCTTGCTTTCTCTGTCCTCCCAGAATTTTAGAGTGCTAAGGGTCTCTTCTGAAAGCCTCAAAAACACAAGGCAATACAGCTTTGATGGAGGCAAATTTTACAGCAGAAGAACCTGAGTGCCCCAAAGGCTGCAGGAACAAAAAATACCAAAGAGCAAGAATGAACAGCATGAGAAAGCATGTGGCCAGCAGATGGCAACAGAGGCCTTTGTGAGCTACTGGCTGCCTGGTTCTGAAGTGCTGGAAGGTGGCTCTTCACAGCTATTGTATAAGTGATTTATGTATTTGGATTCTGCTCAATGTTATATATGCATTACTGAATAAAACATTCACAGTGTATTTTCCACCAGCAGCAGAGCTCCAATTCTAAGCTTCTGAGGTCTAATTCCCAGGGCTCAAAGGAGCCTCTGACATCAAACTGCTTTCCTCCCTGAACAGCTATTTCATACTCCAGAAAAAGAAATGCTTAGAGAGGTGAGAGTGATCTGATGTGACCACGTAGTCAGAATGCCCACCAACTCTGTGTGAGGAAGAGCAAACGTCTGTCAGGTGGTTTCCTCAAGGCCAATGTGTGCAGGGCTTCCCCAGGCTCCGGCTGCTGTTCCCTGCCTTCCTCCTGGTGGCTGTGCCTTGCTCAGCTACCTGCACTGAGATACAGGTGACTCTTGGGTGAGCGCTGGCCTCAGCTTGGACAAGAAAAAGAAGTGGCTTACGTGAAAGAAATATGTCAGGTGAGGCTGGGCACGATGGCTCACACCTGTAATCCCAGCACTTTGGGAGGCTGAGGCGGGTGGATCACGAGGTCAGGAGATCGAGACCATCCTGGCTAACACAGTAAAACCCCGTCTCTGCTAAAAATACAAAAAAAACTAGCCGGGCATGGTGGCGGGCACCTGTAGTCCCAGCTACTCGGGAGGCTGAGGCAGGAGAACGGCAGGAACCCCGGAGGCAGAGCTTGCAGTGAGCTGAGATCGCGCCACTGCACTCCAGCCTGGGTGACAGCGAGACTCTGTCTCAAAAAAAAGAAATATGTCAGGTGAATTTCCCAAACCAGATATTTAATCAGTCAGCTACCCATGGCCCCAGGAGCTGGGAAACCACTTCATTCCTGCCTGGGAGCAGGAGCTGAGTGTGTCTGGGGGCTGCAGTGCGGCGCTCACTCCCAGGCCGCCTGGCCTTCCCTGCAAACCTCCGTAATCCCTTCCCGCAGGTGTTTCTGTGAGGCCACGCTGGGTGACCTCCGAGGTCTCCTTTAGGTCTGTGTGCTGAGATGCTTTGATGTGACATGGGAAGCAGGTACAGGCTACAGAGTTTCTAGCAATGAGCCCAACATGAGATTCAGTGTGATGGGGTGGCCCCCAGAGAAGGACACACTTCCCTGGGAACATATTTGAGAGGTAAAAGGGCAGGCCCCATCTCCAGGTCTGGCGCTGGAAGACAGTTCCACAGAAAACAGAGAACAACGGGCACATCCCTGTGGAAAACACCAACCTGGCATTCCAAACACACAATGCATGTGTTGGCATTCCGTCTTTAGTCACTAACAGGTCATATGAGTTGGAATCTGAGGCAAGCTTCTCCTGCTCTTTTCTCCCATTTGCTCCCCACACTTGATTTCTCTTTTAGAACAAAGGAGAGAAAATGCAGTTTTGGTGAGTGGAGGAGCCAGCAGCATCTACAGCATTTCCCCCAGGTGGAGGCATGCGCCTGTGTAAGCGCCTTAGCTCACTGCCACTGCAAGCAGTGCTGTGAAGTCGGCACTATTATCGTTCTCATTTTGCAGGAGGGGAACTGAGGTTTATAAAGATTAATAAAACATGTGCTTAATTTCACTTGGTTAATATGTGGTGCAGCGGGAACGAAACCCAGCGCCTGACTCCGAAGTCAACGCTCTTCATCACTGCGACGGCGAGGGCGAGGCTGTGGAAATTCTCTGCCACACCTAAGGCCCCCTACCCACCAAGTAACAAAAAAGCCTCATCGAAAAGGAACGCAACAGGACCCCAGCCTTATGAGGAACAAACATCACAGGAGACAAGGCTGCCAGGGAGGAGGAAAGAAAAATCATTTCCTGTTTTCATTCCTCTTGCCTATTCATATGAAATGGTAGAAAACATCAGAAAGATCACCAATATGTCTTTCACATATGCCCACTTCATGTGGTCTTATTTACACCCACGGCTTCATCACCAATGCTCTAGTAATACTGACTGCTAGATGCAGGTTCCTAACTCAAGCCTGCAAACCAGCACATTCAGCCTTTAAATCCCCTCCAGAGTTCCTGCATTTCATTCCATTCCCTTCCCCTTGGCACTGTCTTCCCTCAGCCGCCAAATGATCTCTTGCTTGGAGTAGGGTTCTGCCTGGACACTATGCCTCCACGATCAACTCCGCGATTAACTGTTCTCATGATGGCAATTTCTCCAGCACATGTATACATCCGATGACATTGCATCAGTGCTCCAGATATTCTAATGCCACCTCACGGCCCATGGTGCTTGCGGCACTGGATTCAGACCTGCCTGCCTCAGCACGGGCTGTGTCTCATCCAGCACACACCACAAGCCTGTGAGTTCGGGGGCAGTTTAGTAGCCTGTCTCCCTTGTTCAGTCCTAGCAAATGAACGGCTGAGAACTCCATGAATTGTGCGAAGTGCTGACGGGTCCCTTACTGATGCCCTGTCCCTAAGGAAGCTTGACTCAGAGTAAAGAAGGGGCCTGTGCTGGGTCTGTGTTTCCATCTTGCATCGCATGTTATCTTCTGAGGGGTATTGTTATCTTCATGTTTTTTATTGGTGAAAACACAGAAATGCCGAGAAGTTAGATAGTAAACTTTTATGCAGTCCACAGAGCTGGAAAAGGGAGAGCCAGGATTTATACCCCCAGGCAGGACCTGGAGTGCTTGTGAAACATGATCCCGCTCAGTGGCCGATTCCACAGCTGCCCTCTTTCCTTCTCAACACAGCCCCAGTTTTCCCCTGAAGTGGGCCTCCTCCCAGCCTAGCCCCAAGCCATCAATCTTGCTCGACCTAAGGCTGTTGTGGTGCGGTCCAGCTACCTGTCCAGTGAACAGCTTAGGCATAACTGTACACCACAACTCTGGTCAACGTGGCTAGAGGAGGGGGTGCCTGGGCCTTCTGCAAAAGGGTTCTCTGCTCTCAAAAGAAGACATAAGTCAGGGGCTTTTCTATTGTTACTGTTGGACACTGCTAAACCGGAGCTAGGAGGTCGGTCTGTGGGCAGACTCACTGTTTATAAAATAATTCCAATACATTCTCACATCAGGGATTGAGAGAGAAAGTGAGAGACCATCAAAGATGGCCATTTTAGGTCAATTTACAGAAAAGCAGAAGGGCATGTAACACTGGGATGGATGGAACGATTTCCCCATCATCTATCCCCCCAGAGGCAGGGGCTTTTCCTACTTGGGAGTCAAACCCCAGTGGCCTGCTGGAAGCCACTGGTACCAGGCCATTGGTATTACTTGAGTAGAATAGGGATTTATGTTTTCATGATGCGCCTAATTGGGTCACAGGTAAGCTTTGTTGTGATGTTTGTGTTTGAGCCCACAAAAAAATTTTACAGTAATTTAAACCTATGTGTTCGATATGAGCTCATTTTGTTACCTTAACAAAACAAGGATGTGCTGGGATTTTCTTTTCTTTAACCAGGTTAATGACTCTAGGAAGTAAACATGTGTAGTCATGGTCTAGCTCAAGTCACTCATGTCATAATATTTTAACCTGGATTTTGGGTTAAATAATGGAAAAAGTACCTAATTAGGCTACTAATAAATCACTTCAGGATTTCACCTAAAATGTCAGTGACCAGAAGTAGATGAGTATCCTCTTTCCCTGAAAACTGAGGATCAATGTGAGGTTACAGTTAAAACCATGAGTTATCAATGTCCATAGAATATACTGACCCTAGGTAAGTAGAAGAGGTTCTTGAATGGCCGGGTGCGGTGGCTCACGCCTGTAATCCCAGCACTTTGGGAGGCCGAGGTGGGTGGATCATGAGGTCAGGAGATCGAGACCATCCTATGAAATCCCATCTCTACTAAAAATACAAAAAATTAGCCGGGCGTGGTAGCGGGTGCCTATAGTTCCAGCTACTCAGGAGGCTGAGGCTGAGGTGGGAGAATGGTGTGAACCCGGGAGGCGCAGCTTGCAGTGAGCCAAGATCACGCCACTGTACTCCAGCCTGGGCGACACAGCAAGACTCCGTCTCAAAAAAAAAAAATGTCCTTGAATTTGCTTAACCAAATTTTATATATGCTCATGTGACTACCTGTTTTATACATGGATTCCTTTTAATCTCTGAAGGAAGACAAGAAACAGAGATACTAAAATTCACAGTCATAAAATATTTCCCTGTAGAGACATCCATCTTCCCTTGCTTCTCTCCCTACTGCCTAAAGTTGCTTTGTTAGCAGGCCAAGTCAGACTTGGTCAACTGGGGGGTGAATTAGGCCCTTCTGTCTCACCGCTCCTTCCTTTTTAATTTTCCCGAGGAAGTAACAGTGTGGTAGTTATTAAGCTAGATTTTCCTGGAAGCTCCAGGTCTCATTAATAGCTGCATTGATGAGGGATTATTGTCCGACTTTTCTTTTGTAAATTAGTGGGCGACAGATTCCCTCCACATGGAGCGGGAAAACAATCTCTGTCTTCTTTTAGTTCCAGAACACACCAAGCTCTTTAGCACTCAGGGTCTCCGATAGTCTGTCCCTGCCCAGGCCACCTGCCCTCCCCTCCTCTCCCTTTACCTCACCTTACTCATCGCCAGGTCCCAGACTAAAGCGCTCTTGCTCATAGAAGACATCTGAGACGGGTGTCCCTGCCACCCTCCCAGCCCATCCTTTTGAACAGCACTTCTTACAGCTGGTGGTGTTTTACTTACCCGCATGCTCATCTGTTGAACATTGGCTCCCAGACCGACTGAGGCACTGAGGAGTGGATGATGCAGACTTGGTCCCCATCCTCTGCAGTGGGTACCGAGTCTCCATCATCCACTACCCAGTGCCTCAATATTCACTGAAACGTGAAAGCAGGAAGGAGAAGCAAAGACCTTTACGAGCCTCAAGACTATCTGACACCCAGATCAACAGGGTATGCAGGACTTCCCTGTGCTGTGTGGGGCAGAATTAGAACTCTGAATCTTAATCCTGAGCTGGGCTGGGTATATGCCTTGAACAAATCATGGTGCCTTCTAAATATTCTCAAGTGCAAAACATGGATGAGAAAATGAGAAACGTTATAGAAAATTTTTTTTAATGAAAGAAAGAATTCATATTAGGTGACAAGTAATGACCTTTACACACACACACTTCTCTCTCTGTTTATAGTGACCAAGAAACCAGCTTCCCATAACCTTACTAACAATAATTCTTGAAGATGACAGTCTATTGTTTGAAATCATTTTCCATGTATAGTTGGTTATATGAAAGATATAATGAAATAACTGCTAATTAAATCTATAAATATACACGTAAAAATTACCTTGCCATTTGCAGTGCACTACCAAGTATAAAATTAAACGTGGTTCTGAATTTTTCCCCTAGAACTCTAGTTTTCATTTCTTAATCGTCTAGAGTAGCTCCTTTAATAAAATTTCATTTTTTGACATGATGCTTGTTTGATATTT